TTGACGATCTGGATGCAGAAGTACGCATCCTTAGATCGATGGTCACAAACCAATCTCCGGTTCAGATATAGACAGGATGAGCTTCTGCGTCAGCATCTTGAAATTGCTTACTCCAAGCACAAGGTTAGGTGACGCAAATCCAATCAACCCATAGAAGCTGGATGGTGTAACCATACGACAGCCTGATCCTCCCTCATGAGACCCCAAGACACCTGAGTTGCGGGAAAAACCTCTGAAACAAGGAACGGATACTAAAATCAGGCATGCCAGCACCAACCACAGAGTGGGGACTTGGATGTCAACATATCATGACTTTCAAAAAATAGGAAAAAACTAAAGAGACTGATAATGGCAGCCAGTAGAGAGAACGATGTTGTCAAATTTACTTCAATCCCATTGACGCTTTAGAGAAACACCCTCGCATTAGCGTTAACATTTTTTTTGTAACTTGATGCAAATGTAATATAATACAAAATACATTGTTAGAAATGTACATGCATTTAAAAAAAAATTGAAATACAAAATACTTTGGAGGATTTGCGATGCTGATGACTGTTGAAACGCGTCATCGCAGTCTTGTGAAAATTAATTTGTAGGTAGTTTATCTGATGAATTTTGTTAGTTTTGTCAACGTGTATGAATAGACTACAATATAATTGTATTATATTGTATATAATATATAGGCTGCGCCTTCTAAATGAGACACAGCAAGTATTTTGAAATCGCACCGTAGTTGGAGTACATGACATCACTTCCTGACAAAGCACCGTTTGTTGGAAACATGGAATAATAGTACCAGTAGGCAAACCTGGAAAGGACAAAACCGTTTGTTTGGGATTAGCTAGCTGTTTAGCTAGTATGTCCATAGGGTGTTGTGTAGGATAAAATTATTATAATTAAAAACTAAATCGCCGAGCTGCCACGGTTATCCCTTAAAAGTAAGGTGTTTAATCCTTTGCATTTCTCACCCAGATATGCTCTGCTGCTATTCATATGTAACGTTAGTTTATCCTAGAATTAACAACCGAATCGCTTTGACTGTTGTTAGCCTGGTAACGTTACCTATTATAGTAATGGTCTTGAACAATAGCAATAATGTATAACCACTGGTAAATATGTGTGTTTTTAAAAATAGGTGTCGCTATTTTGCTTATACACGGTATTACAATTAAGTACGACATTATGGCTTGTGTTTAGTATATGGGTGTTACGATGTCCGTCATTTTCACCTTATCTGTAACTTACTGCTAGCATTTACAGTGCTAGTAGCGTCCAACGTTACTATGGAGACAAAACGAGTCGCTCTTGTTATAAATACTAAAGCCGCACTGCAAGTTTATGATGTTTCTATGGCGACATGATACGCGGTAAAACTAGTAACGTTAGTCTGCTGCTTTTATTATAATGGGTTCTGATTTTATCGCTAGCAGTGTAAATGATGTGCTTCATAGCATTTATTTGGTAACATTAGTCCATGTAATCATTTTTGGAAGCGTTCTTCATCCTCTCGACTTTTTAAAGAAATTTTGAACCACAGGAAAGGTCATGGAGGAACCAGGAGCTATAGAGGTGACCGTGAAAACTCTGGATTCCCAGAGCAGGACGTTCACTGTCAGGGGAGAGGTGTGTGTCTGTGTGCTCTATGATATTATCAGTCATAGACGCAAACATTATGCGAGGAATTCATTTGCGCTATGACTTATTTTGTATGTAACACAAATAGCTCATTTAACAAAGTACAACCCAGACCTCTATATTGAAACGCTGTTAAATACGCTACTCTTTAAATCGATAAACCAATTACGTTTATAATCTGATTGTCACCTCTCTTACTTTCTCTCAGTGGACAGTGAAGCAGTTTAAAGAGCACATCGCTTCTGCCGTTGAAATCCCGGTGGATAAGCAGAGGTTGATCTACCAGGGTAAAGTGCTGCAGGATGAGAGGACACTCACAGAATACAGTGAGTGACTGCTTGGTGTCTGTTTTTCGCACTGGGACTGTTCACTGTTTGTGTGAACGAGTGACAGTTGCTGAATTCGGAACAACATGCTACTCTGCGTTTGTGGGTCTTAATTCAAAATGTCTAAATGAGTCATTGATTTATTAAAAAATGCCGATTCATTCAAGAATTAATGTTTGTAAATATTTTCATTGGCAAAATCAGACAAAGTAAGGTTGTACAATTAATTGAGTTGTAATCTAGATATTGGCTGGTTAGTTCTTCTTTTTTATTTTTATATTTTTGACATTTCCTTGCATTGGTTTAAAGGGATATTTAATCCAAAAATGAAAATTACCCAATGATTTACACACCCTCAAGCCATCCTAGGTGTATGACTTTCTTCTTTTTAGACGAATCCGATCTGAGTTATATTAAAAAATGTCCTGGCTCTTCCAAGCTTTATAATGGCAGTGAATGGTGGTTGAGATTTTGAAGCCCAAAAAAAGTGCATCCATCCATCATAAAAAGTGTCCCACACAGCTCCGGGGGGTTAATAAAGGCTTCCTGAAGCGAAGTGATGTGTTTGTGTAAGAAAAATATCCATATTTAAAACTCTCTCATAAACGCACGTCCGGCAGTTAGCAGAAGCTAGAGATTACGGTTTATAAAGTTTTTAATATGGATATTATTTGTAAAGTCATTATTCTCGTAGCTTCATAAAATTAAGGTTGAATCACTGATGTCACATGGACTATTTTAACAATGTCCTCCTTACTACGTTTCTGGGCCTTGAATGTGCTAGTTCCCTTGCTGTCTATGGAGGGTCAGAAAGCTCTCGGATTTCATCAAAAATATCTTAATTTGTGTTCTGAAAATGAACGAAGGTCTCACGGGTTTGGAACGACTTGAGGGTGAGTAATTAATGACAGAATTTTCATTTTTGGGTGAACTAACCCTTTAATCTTCCCAACCTGGCAAACACATGGATATGCTCTCTTTCCACTGCATAAAAAAATACCAAAAATCAGTGGTGTAAACACTCCAGTGAGATATTCTACTCAAATGAAAGTGTAATAGCTAGTCTATGTTCCTTTTGTGCTGTTTTTGTTGCAAATCTGCAAGCAAACTCAATGACAAACTGTAATAAATGCAAAAATAAATCTCAACTATATTGTTTACGGTTATGGTTGCCGAATAAAATGTGTGTATGATGGGCAGAGACTCTGATTTTTTAGCTTGAGACTAAGATTCTGTCCGGTCTGAAGATTATTTATTTTTAAGAATATTTTGAGCCAATTTTAGTATACGAGCAACAGGGCACATGTTTCTGCATTAGTTTTTTGTGTTCGACCTGAAAGTGTGGTAGTGTGTGATCGTTGTTTAGTGCATGATGCCCAGTTTTCCCCCTGTAACCATTTACAAAGTGCATGATGCTTAATGTTTTCAAATCTGTTCAGATTTTAAAAGTTGTGTAGTGTATTCCAGCCTTAAGACAAAGTAACTGAGATCTGTCATAACTATAATCAAAAGTTGTTTTTTGTTTTTTTTATTTGTGTCATATTAAGGATAAAAACAACCCTGTTTTTCAGATGTTGATGGGAAGGTCATTCATCTTGTGGAGCGAGCACCTCCTCAGAGCAGTCAGTCTGGGGGTGGAGGAGGTGGAGTTTCTGGCTCCTCGGGTACAACGGATGGAGGATCTACCTCCTCTCAGTCCTCCACTTTTCCAGGAACTTCACATGACCGTAATGCCAACAATTATGTCATGCTGGGCACTTTAAATCTGCCTGTGAATATTATGGACCCACAGCAAATACAGGTTACAGTGCTCTCCTTACTTCAAGAGACACGTGTTTCAATACGTGATGGTTAACCTCAGACAGCCACTGTAACGTTAGAGGTCCTGTTATTAAAGGAAATTGAAATTTCACCCCTCTAGATGTCAGTGCAGCAGATGTTGGCTGGTGTTGGAGAAATAGGGCGTAATGTCAGAGTGAGCACCAGCACAGGAGTGAGTCATCCTTGCATCCTTCTAACTTCACATATCATACTTGTATAATAATGAGCATTATAAGCAGTGTACTGAATGTTTGTATTAGAGGCACTTATGCTTTGTCTGGTCACAGTCTGTTGTATAAAACGGAAGGTTATCTCTGGACACATCTACAGTAATTTATTTCCTCTCACAGAGCAGTGGCTCTGTGGATGTCCATATCAACGTGGACCAATCAGTGCAGAGCGAGCCCAGGATGAGGCTCCAGCTGGCTGAAAGCCTGCTGCGAGAGACACAGGCTTTAATCCACAGACTCGAGGTGCAGAACAAATATTTACATCCAACAAATGAAACAATCTTATTGGATTTCTTAATTGCATATAAAAAATAATTCAGCCTGATGCTTATTTTCAGATATACAGTAACTTTATTTTTTTGTTTCAGGGTCAATCAAGTGAACCGTCATCTCAGCAGGAGACACCACCTCCTCAGCCACTATCATCATCATCATTCTCAGCACAACCAATGGACAGCTCCCCACCTCCACCCTCCTCCTCATCCTCTGCTTCACAGACAGAAGGAGCAACTCACTCTGGACCCAAGTAAGAGAAGAATATTAGGATCATGCGAAAAAATAGTGTATCCAATGTTAAAGAATAGAACCCTACCATTCAAAAGTTTGGGGTCGGTTTTTATATTTTCGAATGCAGTCTTATGCTCAACAAGGCTGTATTTATTTATTCAAAAATACAGTAAAACACTAATATTGTGATATATTATTTTATTTTAAAATGTAATTTATTCCTGTGATGGCAAAGCTGAATTATCAGAATCATTACTCCAGTCTTCAGTGTCACATGATCCCTTAGAAATTATTCTAATTTGCATTAAACAATGTTGAAAACAGTTCTGCTGTATTTCTATGCAGCTGTATTTCTGCCTTTCCAAAAGTGCCACCTGCTGGCAGAGAATGAATGTGCATTTTCAATCATCCCTTCTGCCAATGTGAAAACTAACCCATGTTTTTACGCTGCAAACACGCAGAGTTGTAAATGTGAACTGGCGGATCCACAAGAAGATAATGCATTATTAAAATCTAAACAATTTAGACCGTAAAATATATTTGTTTAATTAAAATAATAATTGATTGATAATAATTGTTTAAATTAACATAATAATTGATACATTTGACTCTCATTTTCTTAAAAATGGTTTAAAGGCTGAAATGTGAAGTTTATCATTTTCTGAAACTTTTTGTTGTTGTGTGAACCTGAATCTGAACTGTAAATCATGCTTTTTACAGTCATTTTACAGTTTAATATGTTGCCATAGACATTGCCTTAACCTGGTCATATGGTATTAATTTTATATGTGCAAGTTAAAACAAGGTCTCAAAAAGTCTTACATTTGAGCTTCAAAATCCTGCAGATGCCCTGTATTTGAAACATAAATCTTTTGTAACATTATAAATGTCTTTACTTTCACTTTTGATCAGTTGTGTACTTGCTGAATAAAAGTGAAAAAAATCTCACTGTCCCCGAACGTTGAACAGTGGTGTATCATCATGTCATCAGCCCATTATATTTTCACATGTACAAGACAAGTGTAACTTATTTCTGTGTCTCAACAGTCACCCCAGCCCTTTAGAGTTGGTGGAGGTTCTGTCAGAGGTGCGAAGGGTGGAGGAGCGCCTCCGTCCATTCATGGAGAGAACACATTCCATCCTTGGAGCGGCCAGTTCTGCTGACTACAACAACAATGTATGCCCTAGATAGTTTAATGCTACATCATTAGCTGCGTTTACATGGGCCCTACTAATCCGATCGTAATAGGACTAGAAGCACAATCAGAATAAAAAAAGTCACATGTAACCAAGTCAATCGGCTTGAATTGGCCAGATCTGATTCAGATTTCGATCGGATTGTAAGGGGTGGTTTATTCCTTTTGTAATCCGAGCGAGAGGACATGTAAACACTTGATCGAATTGAAAACCGAAACTGGAAAGTACTGTGCATGTGCAGTGATGTAAAAATAGCGTAATGGCGTATGACGTGCGGAACGATCTGTTCTTCCTGGTGAATAAAGTTTCATAAATGAGTGTCCCGTCATTATAAATCTCCCCTTTCACTCAGTGTCTGTGAAGTGGAGCAGCACAACGTCCCACCAGTCCTTGTTTAAGACTATCATCCACAGATGACTGGTTTTGGGTGCGGGCAGGGGCGCTTTTACTGCTCTATAAAGTAAGCAGCACAGCACAACAGTTCATGTGCTGGTCGTCGCCTAATTAGGACCCGAAGTAGATAAATATCAAGTGTGCTTTTTAAAACAGTATGCTACAACAGCGGGAAACTCTGTATATTCATGCAGTGTGCGCATGTCAAAAGATTAAATCCGATCAGAAGCTTGTGACATATAAACGCATAACGGGCCCGATCACTTTATTTAGTATTCATGTAAACACTACATTCGGATTCGTCAATCAGAATGAATTCATTCCGATGGAAGCAAAACGTGTCCATGTAAACGTACCTATTGTCATATGCGCTATAAATATGGCAATATTCATTTTCTGAAAATTGGTTTCTCGGACAGACTCAAGAACGTGAGGAGGATCAGCGCACTCTCAATTTGATTGGCGAGTCACTCCATCTCCTAGGTAACACATTGGTGGCTCTGAGTGACCTCCGATGCAATTTATCAGCTCAGCCACCCCGCCACTTACATGTGGTGCGGCCCATGTCTCACTACACCTCCCCTGTTGTGCTGCAGAGTGGACCACCCCATATTCCCATTCCGGTGAGCTAACCAACTATATGAACAAAACTATTTTCATACTGTTCAAGCAGTCAACCTCACAATATATGACATCTTCCAGATGAACCTGGGCTCTACTGTGAACATGATGGCAAACAGCAGACAGACAAGCGAGGGTCAGGCCCAACCTTCACAGCCAAGCAACCAATCAGAGCCTCAGGGTCAGGCACCTCCTCCTCCACCGAATGGAGCCAGTCAACAAACGGGTCATGGTCAGGGGACTCCAAGAGTGATCAGAATCACTCACCAGACCATGGAGCCAGTGGTCATGATGCAGATGAACCTGGATGGTATGCCACCCACCCATCCAATTGGACCCCAGTGTTCTTAGCACTGTATTTCAGCCATGCTGCCCATTCCTGGTCTGCTACACTTCTGAAGATCCCAGACACTTTTCTTCGTCATGAAGTGATTTTTACTATTTAAAATAGTTCCTTTCAGAAAAGACCTTTTTCAGACCTGGAATGGGCAGCTGTAGTGTAACTGCCAACCACTGATCTGTGCATTTCTGTGCAGCAGATTCAGACAGTGGACCGCAGGGCCAAAGGCAACAGAATCCCAGCGCTGCTGGAGAGACTGGTTAGTTTCCATCTCTCTCTATAGTCAGTAACCAGCCGTGCCAACATTAACGTGATAGTGTCTTAAAGAAAAAAGTTCACTTAAAAAAATTACATTTTATCATCATTCACACACCCTCATGTCATTCAAAACCAATTTGACTCACTGTCTTCCACAGAACACGAAACAAGAAATATTTGCATAATTTCCACAGTGCTTGTTCTCCATGCAATAAATTAAATGGTGACCGGGACTGAAGAGATCCAGATATAAAAATAATGATAATAATAAGATTCACCATATACGTTGTAGTCTTTAAACATGGGTTGCCCATGGGGGTGCTAAGGGCCCATGGATAATAATAAAAAAAAAATGTAAATACATATTTGGCATTGTTTAATTTTTATTTTGAAGACTAACCGAAATCATTATTGTATTGACAACAATAGTTTTATGTTTAAAGTTAGTGAGGTTTGTGGAATTAAATGTTTATTAGATATTCAAAGAATTATTTAAATGCTATCAAGAGTGTTTGCTTTTCTATCATTAAACATAACTGTTAAACAAAGACCGTAAAGTAATGAAGATGGAGAATGGGAGCTCCTGTGCATCTACAGTGCACTCCATCACCGGGGCTCTTAGCATTATGGGGTTCTTAGTCCTACTTATGATACTTATCGGCCAAACAGAAAAAACTTATCACATGATGCAATAATTACAAAAATTCTGGGTATCAGCCAAAATATCGGTCTACAACTAGTCATTGGTTGTCACGTTTTGTCACTTACATCAAACCATACGCAACTAAATAAAGCACTATGGACAAGTGTTATTTTAGTATTATTTATGTACTATTGTAGTATTTATTCTTTTTTTTTTTAAATTAGCATTTATTTTTATATTTTCAAGTTTCATTTGAAAGATTTAGTAATTGTTATGTGGTTTTGTTAATTTTATAATTTTTTTAATATTTCTATTTAGTTTTTATTTTAGTTATTGATTATTTTAATACTTCAAATTCAAGTTTATTTTAATTAACAAAAACGTTTTTTTATAGTTTTAATTAACAATATCAACACTGCTCTGGACGTTCTTCAAAATTCGTACTTTAGTGTTCGGTGGAGGAAAGCAACACGAGTCATAAAGGTACCGGTATTTCATACAAGTTTGAAACAACATGAGTGTGAGTAAATGATAACAGAATTGTTATTTTGAGTGGTGTTAAAGTGCTATTTTTGCATTGGGATGTAACGCAGCTGTTGTTTGTCAGTTGTCTGTAGTCTTGTGTGTGAAGTTTAGACCTTGCAACAGTTTCATTTGCCAGCAGTGTTAATAGTCACTTTTCACTGAATTCTGTGCGTCTGTTCTCTGAAGGCACCACGACACCCATCCATGTACCAGGACTGCCACCCGAGTTCATGCAGGCCATCATGCATCAGATCTCCCAGCAGGCTGTCGCCATGGCAACTGCAGCCTCTGCCGGACACCAGGGGCAGCAGCAGGGCACTGCTGGCTCAGGTGCCCAGAGTGCAGACAGCCCAGCCTCTCCGCCACCTCAGGCCAGGGTGGTCATCACACGGCCCTCCTTATCTCCACGCATCCCCCAACCCATGAGCACCAGAGGGACCACCATCAACCTGCGGGCAACAGTGCCCCCCTCAGCAGGACAACAGACTAATCAAGTATGAACCTTTGATACATTATTGTGTTTTGGAGAGACATAAAACCAAAGTACCTTTCAAATAATGTCTGTTCACTCGGTGGCCATATTTGCAACACTTCGGGTCAGCTATTTCAAGCATCCAAGTTCTATCTTCTTGAATGGGAAAATCCTGAAATTTAAAAAACTGCTTGCCACACTCACTTTTAAATTGCATATTTCAAATCAGCAACAAAAATTTTGTTTCTTCTGCTCAAGTATAAGTTAAAAAAACGTATATTTCAGGCTTGGGTGACGCAAATGAATTCTTTCATTCAAAGTAATATGAATGCACTGTCTTATAGTTCCATTTTTGTTCTTCAATCAAGGGCAACCCTATGACGTCCTCTCCTCTCACACAGATGGTCAGTGGTTTGGTAGGGCAGCTTTTGATGCCATTGCACACAGGTAAGTGGTCCTTACCTGTTCAGTTCCTGTGAAAGATCTAGCATCACACAGCTTCTAAACGTATTATGTTTTCTGTCATCAGGAGATCAGACATCCACTACCTCATCGTCCCACTCCTTCTCTTTCTCTACCTCCACATCTACCCCTTCCTCCTCCTCTATCTCCTCCTCCACTGCTCCTCCATCCTTTGCCAACACATCCGGTCAGACGTCCACCCACACCACCAGCACGGCATCCGTGGGTCAGTCCCAGGAGGGTGGCCCAGGAGATAACCTAGCTCAGCTGCTGGGCTCACTTTTGGGAGGAGTTGCGGGAGCTGGTGGAGGGGTGTCTGGAGGTCCTCCATCCATTACAGTGACTGTTCCAGGTGTCCCTGCATTCATTCATGGCCTCTCCGGGTTCATTCAGGTTGGTGCCTTTCTCAGCAAATGGGTTTTTGTATTCTGATCTTACCAAATGTGTTCATTTGAACGTCCGGTATTCTTTTCAGTCCGGCCAGCCTGTGTTTCCTCCACCCAACCAGCAGCCTCCATCCTCACAAGCCACACCCTCTGCCCCTTCAGGAGCCACCCACACTACCACCCCTCAGCCTCCCAGTGGAGGTGGAGAGACCCTCAGCCCGGAGCTTTTTACAGGCATCGTGCAGGGCGTCCTGTCCACCATGATGGGCTCTCTGGGTGCTGGTCAAGGCAACACTGAGAGCATCGCCCAGTTTATTCAAAGACTTTCCCAGACCAGTAACCTCTTCACGCCTGGAGCTGGAGATGCAGTGGGTCAGTTTCTGTGATCATTTGGCAAAACTCAAAGTTGCATTTGATGTACTAGTACTGACTCACTGTGTTTGTTTGGCAGGGTTCTTTGGAGATCTGCTGTCTCTGGTGTGTCAGAGTTTCTCCATGGTGGACATGGTTCTGCTGCTGCATGGTAATCCTCAGCCTCTGAGCCGCATCCATCCCCAGCTCACAGCCTTCTTCACTGAGCATTATCTGCAAGGCCGAGAGCCCACCGATGCCAACATAGCTGTGAGTCTAAGCTCACACTGCTTTCATACATGACATACATCAGATGAGTACATACTCGAGTGACATACTCAATAATGTTAGCCCGCACTTCGTTAAAACAACAATTATGATATTATCCTTGACAACACCTCTAACAAGGACTTCTTTGAACATTTTTGAGTCATGATGCAAACATATTGTTTATTCAGTGTTTTGATTTACTGATTAATTGAAATGGACACTTCAAAAGAACCATGAAAATAATACTGGTCTTACAAAATAACACTTTTCTATTGAGTGCATGTTGTAAAGACTGATGGGATTGTTTCTTTTACTTAGAGTGCTGCTGAGGATCTGATCAATGGACTAGAGGAGTACATTGCAGAGAGTTTTGTAAGTCTTGTTTGCACCTGATTTATCCTGAAACATTTGTTCATCAGACACCCTAACTGATAGTCTCTGTGCTGTATCCGTTTCAGTCCACTGTGACTGTTCGAGAGGGAGTGGACATCATCCAAACCAACATGTCCTTCCTGAGACAACAGTTCACTCGCATGGCTATTCACATTCTGCGCTGTACAGGTGACCACCATACTATCAACACAAACACAGACCCCAAAACTGCTCTGACCCCAGTATTCAAATCACAAAGTGCAAATGGAAATCGACTTGGCAAACTGTAACATTTAAAAAGAAAAAATTAGATCCATTTTCTGTGGACTTCATCAGTGTTGTTTTAGTTTTTTTTTCTTATTTTATAGACAATTATAGTATTTATTAATATTTTTAATTAGCTTTTGTTTTTAGATTTTCACATTTAATTTTAATTTTAGTATTTATGTGCTTTTGTCCTTTTTATTAGTTTTTTTTATTGTTCTATTTAGATTGAATTTAATTTTCTTAGTTTTAGTCATTTTTGTACTTCGGTTTATGTACATATGTACTTTTTTCTAATATTTATATTTTATTTTATTTCAGCTTTATTTAAATGAATGAAAACGATTTTGTAATATTTTTTGTTAACAATAAAACCCTATGACGTCCTCTCCTCTCACACAGATGGTCAGTGGTTTGGTAGGGCAGCTTTTGATGCCATTGCACACAGGTAAGTGGTCCTTACCTGTTCAGTTCCTGTGAAAGATCTAGCATCACACAGCTTCTAAACGTATTATGTTTTCTGTCATCAGGAGATCAGACATCCACTACCTCATCGTCCCACTCCTTCTCTTTCTCTACCTCCACATCTACCCCTTCCTCCTCCTCTATCTCCTCCTCCACTGCTCCTCCATCCTTTGCCAACACATCCGGTCAGACGTCCACCCACACCACCAGCACGGCATCCGTGGGTCAGTCCCAGGAGGGTGGCCCAGGAGATAACCTAGCTCAGCTGCTGGGCTCACTTTTGGGAGGAGTTGCGGGAGCTGGTGGAGGGGTGTCTGGAGGTCCTCCATCCATTACAGTGACTGTTCCAGGTGTCCCTGCATTCATTCATGGCCTCTCCGGGTTCATTCAGGTTGGTGCCTTTCTCAGCAAATGGGTTTTTGTATTCTGATCTTACCAAATGTGTTCATTTGAACGTCCGGTATTCTTTTCAGTCCGGCCAGCCTGTGTTTCCTCCACCCAACCAGCAGCCTCCATCCTCACAAGCCACACCCTCTGCCCCTTCAGGAGCCACCCACACTACCACCCCTCAGCCTCCCAGTGGAGGTGGAGAGACCCTCAGCCCGGAGCTTTTTACAGGCATCGTGCAGGGCGTCCTGTCCACCATGATGGGCTCTCTGGGTGCTGGTCAAGGCAACACTGAGAGCATCGCCCAGTTTATTCAAAGACTTTCCCAGACCAGTAACCTCTTCACGCCTGGAGCTGGAGATGCAGTGGGTCAGTTTCTGTGATCATTTGGCAAAACTCAAAGTTGCATTTGATGTACTAGTACTGACTCACTGTGTTTGTTTGGCAGGGTTCTTTGGAGATCTGCTGTCTCTGGTGTGTCAGAGTTTCTCCATGGTGGACATGGTTCTGCTGCTGCATGGTAATCCTCAGCCTCTGAGCCGCATCCATCCCCAGCTCACAGCCTTCTTCACTGAGCATTATCTGCAAGGCCGAGAGCCCACCGATGCCAACATAGCTGTGAGTCTAAGCTCACACTGCTTTCATACATGACATACATCAGATGAGTACATACTCGAGTGACATACTCAATAATGTTAGCCCGCACTTCGTTAAAACAACAATTATGATATTATCCTTGACAACACCTCTAACAAGGACTTCTTTGAACATTTTTGAGTCATGATGCAAACATATTGTTTATTCAGTGTTTTGATTTACTGATTAATTGAAATGGACACTTCAAAAGAACCATGAAAATAATACTGGTCTTACAAAATAACACTTTTCTATTGAGTGCATGTTGTAAAGACTGATGGGATTGTTTCTTTTACTTAGAGTGCTGCTGAGGATCTGATCAATGGACTAGAGGAGTACATTGCAGAGAGTTTTGTAAGTCTTGTTTGCACCTGATTTATCCTGAAACATTTGTTCATCAGACACCCTAACTGATAGTCTCTGTGCTGTATCCGTTTCAGTCCACTGTGACTGTTCGAGAGGGAGTGGACATCATCCAAACCAACATGTCCTTCCTGAGACAACAGTTCACTCGCATGGCTATTCACATTCTGCGCTGTACAGGTGACCACCATACTATCAACACAAACACAGACCCCAAAACTGCTCTGACCCCAGTATTCAAATCACAAAGTGCAAATGGAAATCGACTTGGCAAACTGTAACATTTAAAAAGAAAAAATTAGATCCATTTTCTGTGGACTTCATCAGTGTTGTTTTAGTTTTTTTTTCTTATTTTATAGACAATTATAGTATTTATTAATATTTTTAATTAGCTTTTGTTTTTAGATTTTCACATTTAATTTTAATTTTAGTATTTATGTGCTTTTGTCCTTTTTATTAGTTTTTTTTATTGTTCTATTTAGATTGAATTTAATTTTCTTAGTTTTAGTCATTTTTGTACTTCGGTTTATGTACATATGTACTTTTTTCTAATATTTATATTTTATTTTATTTCAGCTTTATTTAAATGAATGAAAACGATTTTGTAATATTTTTTGTTAACAATAACACTGTTTCTTGTGTCTTTCCAGATAACACATTTGGTCAGCGCTTGTTGTATCTGTGCACCCAGGGTCTGTTTGAGTGTTTGGCCCTCAATCTCTATTGCTTAAGAGGAGAGCAAAGAGCTTTAACCACCGTCATCAACCACCGAATTGTAAGATTCGTTGATTCATCCTTATGAAGGTTGTTTGGTGTTGCATCTTTTGACACGTTCATGTTTTACTCCTTACTCAGAGGAGAATGTCAGCTGAAGTGAACCCCAGTCTGGTGAACTGGTTGACCAGTATGATGTCCATGAGGCTGCATGTGATTTTAGAGCACAATCCAGTCACTGAGGACCAGATCCAGCATTACGTCATCTATACGCAGGTATTCACCCTCTCATCAGGATTCACTCCCAAACTGAACCACAGAATACAGAACTGAATATGCTTCTGTTATCTTTTTCACGTATAGAGTGAGTCGTCTCAGAGAACAGAGTCAGATGCACAAGCAAGCCAGCAGTCAGATAACATGAGTGTTGAGGTATGTTTCAACCGAACGAGAATGAGTCTAGTTTACTGTCACATAGAAAATTATTATTTCTAAATGAGCTGATAAAAGCATATTAAAGTCCATACTGTACCGTTCTGAAGCTTTAGATCGGTAAGATTTTTAAAATGTTTTTAAAAAACATCTCTTCTGCATTTATTTGATCCAGTATACAGCAAAAACAGTGATATTGTGAAATATTGTTGCAATTTATTCCTGTGTTTGCAAAGCTGAATTTTCAGCATCATTACTCAAGTCTTCAGTATCTGAAATAGAAAGCTTTTGTAATATTATACACTATCATTCAAAAGTTTGTGGTCAGTAATTTATTTATTTTTGGAAAGAAATGAAAGAAATTAATACTTTAATTCAGCAAGGATGCATTAAATTGATAAAAAGTGACAGTTAAGATATTTATAATGTTACAAAAGCTTTCTATCTCAGCTAAATGCTGTTCTTTTGAACTTTCTATTCATCAAATAATCCTGAAAAATATTGCAAACAACTGTTTTCAACATAATTATAATAATAAGAAATGTTTCTTGAGCAGCAAATCAGCATATTATAATGATTTCTGAAGGATCTTGTGACACTGAAGACTGGACAAAATTGCCATCACAGGAATAAATTGCATTTAAAAATATATTCAAATAGAAAATAGTTATTTTAAATTGTAAAAATATTCCACAATATTGCTGTTTTTGCTTTATTTTGGATCGGCAGCCTTGGTGAGCAGAATAGTCTTCTTTAAAAAACTTTTTAAAAAAATCTTACCAATCTAACATTTTTGAATGGTGGTGTATAGTATGTAAGCGTTTTTGAGTATTATGTTAGTATTTTCATTGTAATTTAAGTTGTAATAATGTTTTTGTCATTATTATTTAGCTTTATTTTTATTTTTATTTCTGTTTTTATTTTTAGTATTTCAGTTTAAACTTATTTCAGTTAATTGCTGTTAAAAAGTAAAAAAAAATAACTTTTTATTGTGTGGTTAACAATAACACTGATCATAAGCAACTTTCCTTTGTGTATTGCCTGTCCCTTAGGCCTTGAACAAATCTGGATGTTTGTCTGCGCTTGAAACCGTATGTTATGATAGTAATATCTGATTATATATTACAGATGGAAGAGGGTCTGTCTCCTGCTCCTGCCACCACTGCAGAGGAAGTCATGGCATCCTCAGGAGACACTGCTGATGCCGATGAACCACCTGGCAGGCCATTGTTAGAAGAGACACGAGGAGCAGTAGCCATGGCAACTGCAGACAGGGAGGAGTCAACTGGAGAGGTGGAGCCATGGGCAGCAACTGTTCCACCTGTGAGACTCCATTGTCTGTTGTGTCTGTTGATTTAGTGTCTGCTAAACATTTTTGTCACCTTTTTGTAGTACATTGACATATAAATGACCTCAAAGTTAACAGCACACATAAACCAACAACTGATATGCTATATAGTAATAATGAGTGTTTCAATATTTTAATCAGGAGTGGGTACCCATCATAAGACATGACATGTTGACCCAGAGGAAGATGAAAGCACAGCCGCCTCTGTCTGATGCTTATCTGCATGGGATGCCGGCCAAGAGGAGGAAGGTCTGTACGCCAGCTACATTCATTCAAATCTAAAAGGCTACCATAGATCACCAATGCAAAATGAACAATTCAATTAAACTGCTTTCCTCCCTTCACAGACCGCACAGGGAGAGGGTCCTCATCTCTCTCTCGCTGAGGCCGTGAGTCGAGCTGCCAGGACAGCAGGGGTGCGACCTGTTACTGCCCCAGACAGCCTACAGGGGGAGCTGGAGGCACCAGAGCTGCAGGAAGCTTATACACAACAGGTAAGAAACTAAAATCTCACACCTAATCTATCCTGAGACACCTGCACAGACCAGTGTTATTCAGGGTTTCTGCATGTTTTAAAAGGTCTTAAAAAGTGCTTATTTGCCCTTCCACAAATAAAGGTCTTAAAAGGTCTTAAATCAGAGGAGAATATATTTTGATAAAGTCATGGCATTAAATGTTGCATGCACTGCAAAAACATTTATATCTTCCTCAGTATTTTTATCTGGTTTTCGTGTACAAATATTAAAATGTCCTTAAATCAAGATAAAGATGTGAACTCGTGTTTTCTGAGAATTGAACAAAATGTGAATTTATGCTTAAAAAAAAAAATCTGTTAATAGGGTAGGGAAACTTGTTTTGCCTTTTAATGAAGTTAATTTTACTAAGCCCATTGGCAGATATTTGTTTTTGTTTTAATGATAAAACAGTTGCAGTGTAAATCAATATTACTAAGGAAGAACTGCTTTTTGCAGTGTGATCTGAAAGTACAGTAAAAGGTATTTCCAGTTGAGCATTTTTTTGTAAAATGAATTAAAATGTAATGGCAATTGCCTTTGAAGTATTGATAACTCAACAACTCATTGTGTTCTCCCTAGACATTTACATTTAGAGAACATAATGACATAATGTATTCCCTTGAATTTATTTCTTAAATTTTATTTACTTGATCTTAAAAGGCCTTTAAAAAAATCTTTAATTTTCCTACATAAATTCTGCAGAAACCCTGGTTATTTTACAGTTACTTATGCACTATTATAATATTTATTAATATTTTGAATTTTCTTGTATATTCATATTTTAAGTTATTTAAATTTTAGTTTAAGTAATGTGCTTTTGTCATTTTTATTATTTTTTTAATAATTCTGTTTTAATAATTTTAGAACTTGGCAACTAACTTATTTCAGTTTCTTTTTTTTCCATCTAATATTTATATTTTATTTTATTTCAGCTTCATTTCAGTTAAAGAAAATAATTGTTCATAATTTTAGTTTTAGGACAAAGTTTCCCATCCTGCTCCTGAGAGTTTCAAAATGTTTCCCATAGAATTGTAATGTATACAAACTCAATTAAGGTCCCATTTCCACAATTCCACATTATTACTCCACATTTTTAAAGCTAAAAATTGAGTCTGGCAAGAAATCTATCAGATCCCATAGGAATGCAGACCATGCAGATCTTGATCTCTGAATTGCATTGAACATTTTGAAAACTTTTTCATTCTTCATTGTGTTCCAGGTGAAGAGTGATATAAAGAAACGACTGCGTGATGATCCAGACTACAACCACCAGCGGTTTCCCAACACACACAGAGCTTTTTCTGAGGACTCCTAACCAGCAGCTCTGTTTACTCTGTCTTGTCATCTGTCAAACACAGTCATGACCATGACGTCTCGAGGAACGGCCAGTAGCGTCTCGTGCATTGAGGGATCCCAGTTGTTTAGAAATCGCCGACTGACACATAACTCGGATGTCTGCCATAGTCAAATGTGTGGATAGTGACTAAATATAGAGCCGGTGAACTAGACTGGCCATGAAGGCAGAACATTTTTTTTTTATACTTTTTTTCCCCTCTACATGGCGTCCATCTGTGGGAAACAGCATCTTATATTCTTTGCAGATGTCAAAACAGTCAGTGAGTTTTACTCTTGACAGGATTCATATATGCCCCTGTCCATTGTAAATTAGCTGTACATTGTTGTAATAAGTTGTTTTAATAATGACAATAATAGCAGTTGTATTACAGGCACATATGTATGAAGAAAACCTAATTCATTCCAGCTTGACCTGCTCGATGTGTAGATAAAGGAGATGCCAAGATTGATGTTTACAAGCTCCAGACATGTTAAATATGATTAGATATACAGCACTGCACATTCATCACTGAGGACTGGAAGTGTTTTAGTCATAGTGATGCCATAGAGCTGTTGGTTGTAAATATTTCTTGCATGCCAAAAACATCTTGTTGGCTCCATCATGTTGTTCATGAATGCGACTGTTACAAAATAACAGTCGCATTCATGGGAAACAATATTTGCATAAATTACATTGTTTCATATTGTCTCAACCCTTCAACTAAAGAAAAAAAATTATCATTTTGTATTAATAACTACAAACCAACATTTGGTTCCTAAATTGCTAGCGGAGCAATTTCATGTATGGTAAATTTGCAACCCCGTTACCCATATTTAATTAATATGATTTAAACTTTATTCAAATAAGTCAAACTTTAGTGACATGGCTGAAAAAATGCCAATATAAAATAAATGGAACATTTTAATAAATAAAACATTTTCTATCATTCAAAAGTTTAGGGTTAAGAATTTGTGATGTTTTTGAAATGTCTCTTATGCTTACCAAGGCTGCATTAATTAATCAAAATTACAGTAAAAGCTGTAAAATTATGAAATGTTATTACAATCTAAAATAACTGTAAAATGTAATTTATTCTTGTGACGCAAAGCTGCCATTACGCCAGTCTTCAGTGTCACATGATCCTTCTAACATGCTGATTTGCATTTTTTGTATTATCAATGTTTAAAACAGATGTGCTGCTTAATATACATGTGGAAACCATGATTAAAGTTTAAAGTCCTATTTGAACCTCAAAAAAAAAAAAAATATATATATATATTGTACCTTATATGCAACAAATTAAACATTATTTAGCAGAAAATCTAAATATCTAAATGGTAGTAGACAAGAGAGAAGAACAGAGACCAAAAATATCGGTCAGTATGCATTTATTTGTCTCACAACATTCACACAGGTTTTTGGGTAATTAGCGCAGAATTAACCACCAGAACAATTGCTTTAACAGGTTCTGACCTTTCGGATTTGAATTGCACAGATTGTGGAGTGACAGCGTTTCATGCTTTTATTGTCCATTTAAAAGCGCAAGCACTTGAGACAGATGTGTTCTGACTGCTTTGGGACACAGGAAGTCCATTAAAGTGTCTGGTCTATGTCTTTACCACAGGAAGCTCAAGCAGTTGAAAGTGTTCTTGTTAAAACAGACTGTGGGAGGAGAGCATGTGTTATCACACCAAATGCACTGCCAGTCATTACTGAGCTAAAGTGACCAATTAACCTGGAGAAAAATAACCAACGCGTTGCTTTGCAGATGCAAATACACTTCTGAACATATTTCAATGGGAAAAAAATTGAAAGCATGGGTCTTTTGAATAAGTGTGGACTTAATTTACATGGACGGCACGGCAAGACCAGTGCAGATTTGGCAATGTATTTATGCAGGGAGCCATATTGGCTGAGAACTTATACCATGTGTCTTGCACAAATAAGGAAGGTATGGGCAAACAAGAACAAGTCCAGACAGGAAACTAAACTCTCTACACTCAAAGGCAGTCCCTGGCATCACTTTCCCTTAAAGGTCACCAAAAAGGCAGCAACTCTAAAGACATTCATTAAGTTCTGCTACTAAAGGAAACAGCTGGTTTTCAGGCACCTTCCTCTACAACATTTAAACCAATGCAACTGATGAAAACTCCAATTAATATATAAATACAAAAAAATATATAATTAATTATTACAATGTAAGATGATCAAGACCAATCTTTCTGTTGATTTATCTGGCATGTGCTTCAAAAGCCAGTTTTACAGCGAGCTGCCTGAATGTATTTACAGATGGTATTGAATATGGGACATCAAAACCTGTTTGTTAAAGAGTTGTGCGTTAGTTAACTTCCTAGTTAGTGATGCCCTCATGTATTAGTCTCTGAAACCGGTTACGATTCAAACCAGTTTGGTGATATTCAAACAATGGAAATTAAAGAGCGCACAAAGATTGTTTCAAGTGAGAACAGTTTTAACTCGTTTGTTCTTGTTCCTGCGGATTTACCCCAAAAAAACTGGTTACCAATATCTCATTCACTCAACCCACACAATACAGCGCTGCCTCTTTTTCAGTCTTTTTAATGGTGTGACCAAACGCATCCACGCTCTGGTCCTGCTCTGCGGCTCAGGCTTGGGGCTGTCGGAGGGAAGACAGCAGGAGTGGGAGTAGGTTGAGGGCGGGCCGGTGTTCCTGAATGCCCAGCGCCACCAGAGCCCCGGCCAGCACTGAGGTCACTTTGGGCAGCAAGGGAGGACGAGTCTCCATAACCTACCAACATAGATAAACACTAAGATTAAACCAGATTGAAATGATCAAGTGCTGTTTTTCAATCAGAGAGCCTCAGTAGATGTCCAAGGGGGCCGCAGGATGACTTAAAGGGACAGTTCACCCAAAAATGAAAATTGTCATTTACTCAGTCTCAGGCTGTTCCAAACCTGTATGAGTTTCTTTCTTTTGTAGAACATAAAAGAAGATATTTTGAAGAATTTGGTAACCAAACAGTTGCTGGTCCCCATTGACTTCCATAGTATTTTATTTTTTCCATACCGTGGACGTAAATGGGGACCAGCAGCAACATTCTTCAAAATATCTTCTTTTGTGTTCATCAGGAAAAAAAAAAATATAAAAAAACTACAGATTTGGAACAACTGAGGGTTAAGTAAATAATGACATTTTTCTCTCTTTTTTTTGGGTTAACTATCCCTTTAAATGTAATTAAATTAATAAATTATTATTAATATACTAATAATCTAACTCTAATCTAAATTAAGTGTTAAAAAAACACGTAAAAGATGTCAAATGATAATAACTATTGTTTTTATTGAAAAACATACAGTTCTTGAAACTTATGGAATCACAAAATGAATTTTGTTGAAATAATTGAATATTTGTTTTGAAAAGAAGCTTTGTTTTAAGTACAGCAGAAGTACCAGAAATTTCTCAGCCTACATGGCCGTTCGAATTTTGTGTTGGATTACGGTGTCCTTTGAGTCAAATAGGTTGAGGAAATCCGCAGTTAAGTGACAAGCGTTAAATGATATAAAAACTGTTAACTCACCTTTTAACCATTTTTCTGATAACTTGGATTTCTGGGTAGCTCTGCCCAAAGTAAAATCTCACTGATCTAAAATCTTGCTCCATATGTTCTGATATTGTGTGATTGAAAAGCATTTTTTCAGCTTTCAGTATCTCCTTTTTCCAAACGAGTCTACTACATTACGGGTGGTACTTCCAGTTTAGGGAGCTTCCACTCAAAATGACTTAAATCATTTCAAATAATAAGGCTGCACTACAAATAATCCTTATTTGTCTGTTTGATTGAATGAGCTGTACATTTTCCATAACTCTCCATTATATTTTTATCTGTCAGGAAAATAATTAAATCTTGCGGTTTTAATGTGACAGTCTTAAAGGAATATCTGTGACAAAATCTCTTTTTAGTCCGCTAGCTTTCTTTTTCTTTGAATTTCGCTGTATTAATATGAAAAAGACAACACGCTGTGCAGATGTGGTCTGCTCTCCTATTTTTAGCTCCAAATCCTCACTCGCATCTCTTTCCTGGTTTTTCACGGAGCGCTTTAAAACATAACTGTCTCCCCTTTTTCACTTCTAATCCCCATCAGCATTGTTTACTGAAATATTTCTGAAGCTAGAAAATGAAACATTTATCTGTTCAAAATGAAGGAAAGCACGTTGAAATATCCATCAATGTTCGAGTTAATGGGGGAAAAGTTTTTATTAACGCAAAAAAAGTGCTGACCTCAGTCTTTAAAACGGGAGTGTAAATTTCTTTTTTTTTTTTTGTACCATTTTCCTATTTAATTTAAGAAATATGGAAAACAAGGATATTCTGAGTTGCAAGAAAACCTCACCTTTTCAACTTTATGCCTATGTATTCGTCCATCAGAGCCAACATAGAAGGTGGAGAATGCATCATATGTTCTGAACAGAAAAAAATAAATATGACTACACAAAGACGAGCACAGGGCAAGGTTTTGATAGGCTGTCACAGCATGTCTCACCTGTAGAGGTGGCTCTTGTCTTTCTTGTAGAAGAAGATCAGAATGGAGTGGAAGGGCAGGCCTTTGACTCTCCAGCGAGCTTTGATGGAGCCGTCTTCTGGATGCTTGGTCAGCTTCAGCACTTCCAGCTGAGCCTCCGCATAGTAACACTGACACATCAATCGCCAAAGCGTCAGAGTCAGCTGGTACGCTACACGACCCCTTTAGAGACAGACATTATACCAGTCAGATGTGCTGTTTCAAATATACCGGTACTTTGGCAACAAGCCAGAACCAGTCATTCAATGGTAGTTCTGACTCATTTTGGAACTATTGTCACTGTGTAATTAACAAACAAAACCACCCATGATTTGTTTTTCCTCAAAACTTTTTTCCTCAAAAGTCTTTTCTTTTGTATTTGAAAACATTTTGCTTGGAAAAACTTTTTGACGTTCTTGCAGAAAATGCTTTGCAAGCAAAATGTTTTCCAACATGAAGGAAAAAAAAAGTTTTGAGAACAAATCTTGAGACATAAAAATGTTTTGATGCAACAAGCATTATTAATTTTGCTTGTGAAACTTTTAATGTATTTGAAAAAAAAAAAACATTTAGCAAACAAAAGAAAAAAAGTTGACAAAACATGAAATAATCAAAACATCTTTAAGGAACAAAATTTGATAGTTTAGCTTGCAAAAAAAAATGTTTTGCAAACAAAATATTTCCAAACATAACATTAAACACCATGAGGGAACAAATGTTTTTTGTTTTTCTTGGTAAACTTTCTGATGACTTGCTTGAACATTTTGCAAACAAAACATTTACAAACAAAATGTCTTGAGGCAACAAAAATTTAGAGTTTTAATTTTATTAAAAATTAATTTTATTATAAATTAATCCATAGCCTAACAGCCTACAAAAGCGATCAGAGTTCCGGACATAAAGGTAGCGCAATATATAGCAATACATTTCAGATTTTTGCAAATGTGCCAGTGCGTATTTGTTTGCACTCTGTGGGGTGCCAAAGGTTTCTATTTACAAGTATTGAAAAATGTATCCAATCACAGACATATCTGGTGATTTCTTGAACGTAATGGCCAATTATCCATTTTAATGATTATAACGGGAGTTTGCAAATGTGATATTGATTTTATTTAACAGTTCAATAAACAAGTTAATATAAAATTACTTATATTTTAAGAACACTGTTGTCTGATTTTGCTCTATTTCATCAATGAAAATAGTTCCAAACAAGGTCACAGCTGAGCCGCTGCGCATCTCCATGCAAACACTTTATGAATGAATGTGTGTTTTTTTGTGAATCTAGTGAGTCAATGATTCAGTTACCCTT